TAGCAAAACCAAAATTAACATCAGGACTGAGCACTGGCCTCCCAGCAAAAGTCAGTGTGCTGAGCCGAGGAGGTGGGGGTGAATGACAGCTTAGAATCCGCCTTTCTTTGCTCTTCTCTTCTCCTCCCCTCTCCTTCTGTAGTTCAAGCTGGCCTTGAACGGACACTGGTCCTGTCTCAGCTTCTCCAGCTCTGTGCTTATGGCACATGTAACCGAAATGTGCCCTCTCCTCCTCTTCTTCGTACAGTGCTGGGGCTTGAATGCATTCTACTTATGGAGCACAGACAGCTTTGTCTTTTTCATCCCTAGTCTCCTCTCCTCACACGTCCAGGTATCTTTTAGTGCCACCATCTACTTTCTAACCTCCAAGTCTTCCCCTGTTGTGCTTGAGATGTTCTTTGCCTCCTGGCTTTTCACTAGTCAGCACAACTCTTCCCTGAGCCTAGCTGTCACACCCAGCTCCTTTCCCCAGTGAGTGGTAACTGGCTTTTACCCGGAGGGGCTCAGGTGGCCTGAGCTTGTTTGGCCAGACTCCCTTCGACCCTTAGCAGCTTAGCCCTCCCACCCCTTCCCTGAGTCCTCCAGTAAACAAGAGGATCAGGACAGATATGACAGCTGCCTGGTGGGGGCAAGTGTCTGTTTAGGTCAGAGCAGGCATGAGAGGGGGCTGCACCCAAAGCTGCCAGCTCCTTTTTCTTTAGGGAACTTCTTGGGCCGCTTTCCTGGCTATCCACTGTAAAGCTACATCCCACTGGTATGCACCTGGCCTTCCTCGCTTTCATCATCCCTATTCCCATTTTGTAGCTGGTTCCTGGCCTTAAACTATATGCTTCCTCTAAGAAAACAAGCAGCAGGTCCAGGTGAAGAGTGACATTTCTAGTTGAATAGTGACACTACTTCATAGCAAGAGACCTAGGCATAGGCAGTCATTATGTCTGACTTCGGGCTTTTCATATGTGTGGAGGAAGCTTGGATTTCAAATGTCCTCCAAAGCTGGGAGTGGTGGTGCTCTCCTTTATGCCCTGTGCTCTGAGGTCAAGGTCAGCCTGGTGGACAAAGCGAGTTCCAGGACAGCCAGAGCTACACAGAGAAACCCTGTCTTGAAAAAAACAAAGCAAGCAAACAAACAAACAAACAAGTCCTCCAAAGGCACATGAATTAAAAATGTGTCGCTATTGGAAGGTGGCAAAAATTTCAAGAGGTGGGGCCTCGTGGGAAGTCTTCTGGTCATTGGGGTATGCCCTTGAGGGCAGCAGGGGCCGTATCCCTTTCCCTTTATTTTATTTTACTTTTTGTCCCGGTGATGCGGTGAGTAGCTTTAAGGTGTGTCTCTGCCATGACAACTTGGCTCAGTATAGCCAATAAAAGATGGTTGCTCACAGCCTGGGGTCTCTAACGCAGCAAGGCAAAACAAACCTCTTTCCAATTAAAGTTGATTACTTCAGCTGTTTATCGGAGCAATTGTGTCAGTGTTTGTTGTGACAAAACGCCTGGGGAAAAACCAAAGGAGGAGAGATTTCTAACGGTTTCAGCTTTCGCTGATAGTTGTGTGGTCCTATCGCTTTGGTCCAAATTCTTACATCATGACAGTGAAGATATGGTGAAACAGAGAGAAAGGAAGAGGGGAAAGAGAGAGAGGAAGGGGGAGAGATGGAGAGATGGAGGGTAAGAGGGAGGGAGGAGAAAGAGGGAGGGAGGAGAAGGAGGGACACAGAGAAACAACATACATCGATGGACTAAGGAGATACACCATTCACAGGCATTTTTTTTCTGTTAGGCTCCACCTTGTGAGAGCCAACTCAGTATGAACTCTTCAACTCATTAATTTATTGATAAGTTTAACACTCTCATCTAATTATTTCTCAATACGAAAGCAGAGATGGAAAATTAATGTAGTGTGGGCACACACACACACACACACACACACACACACACACACAGATGGGTTGAATGTAGGCATCTGTATCCCGTGATTCTCAAACGTTAGAGTCTATCAGAGCTGTTGGAAGGGCTTATTAAATCACAGATGCCTATAATTTAACGCCTACGATTTAATTTAATGTCCTACCTACAGAGTTTCTGATTCTGTGAGTTTGAGGTAAAGCCAGAGATTTTGTTTCTTCAAGTTCCCAAGAGACGATGCTGTTACTTATCTGGGACCACATTTTGGGAGCCTTAGTCTTAAGCAGCCTGCATGTATCAGCTCTTCCCTAACATATAAGGCTGGGACTAGGATAACCGTTATAACTGAGGACTCTTGGGGCTTACAGAGCCCAGAGCTTCCTCTGCATTGGACAAGAAGATCTATTAACTAACCAGTGTCTGGGAGTCCTCAGAAGGCAGGAAATACCCTTTAACTTGTGGAGTTTATTCCAGTACAGACCCTATTTAAACAGCTTCAGGCAGGTTTAAATGTCTCCTTGGCTAAGTCCTCATATCTCTGCCCCGGCTCCTCCTGGGAGGTGACAGCTCTTAAGAGGCGTTAGGAGATTAGGCTGAAAATGTAGGTCACACCCCAGCCGTCTGGCAATCACAATGAGTGAGAGAGGAGGAGAGAGGGACTGAGACTCAGCACAGGGAGCAGGTGAGAGGAAGCAGAGGCTCATGAGAGCAGCTACAAAAGTGTATTTAATGAGCTGGTGGTGATCAGCCTCTTTCGGTATCCCGGGGAAAGACTAGTGTTGTGGTCTTTTCCTGTTCCTTCTCTCAAGCTGGGCTGCTGGTCTTGGAGATGGCTATTAAGAGTGGGTTTCTACGTGGAGAAAGTTGCTTATCTAATACAGTGACTTCAGTGAGGCCTAAGGCCAGTCGGGGTGAAGGTGTGGCAGGGATTGAAATGTGAGGATTCTCAGAAAGAGGAAGCAGAAGCAACACACTGGATGAGAATGGGCAGGAGACTGTATACATCCCACAGCTGTAGCTGGGAGGTGCAGGGTCTTAAAAGATGGGGATGCTGGGAGTTCATTTGGACCTTTGCCAACCCTAGGCTTTGAGCGACTGGGCTGAGAATTGTGCTCACGTGGAGGAGTGGTGCTGGGGGCCCAATGTGGAGCTCTACTGGGCACCAAGCACACGGAATCGGGACCACCAATAAGAAGCTTTCTCGGGGAAGACGCCACACTTCCCTCTTTGAGAGCTGGTGGTACCTGTCCTTCAGTGTCCTCTGCACCCCTGCCCCAGGCCAATGAGATATGCAAATGAGCCCTTTATCTCATTGGCTGAGGCTTGAGGACCGCAGATGATCCCAGGGAACTAGCCCTTTAAGAGTGCCCTTTGGGCCCCCTTCTTATGGATACAGGGACACCGGACCCTGCTCTATGGCGTCCCTAATTTCCAGGAAAGCCGTGCCTTTTGAGTTCTGACAGACTGCAGCACCTCTGTCATTCCTAAAGTGAGTATGTATGGTGAGCCACCTGGGTGCCAGGCCTGTCACCTAGAGCTCTGCCTGTGATCCCTGTAGTCAGCCCTCCACTGTGTCTTATGTAGAATAGTCACTCTTCTGTGCCCTGCCCCACTCCTACCCTGGCTGCTATCACATCAGAGAGATAAGCAACCTCCCCCGCTTAACGGTTTAACAGCTCCCATTCTCTCGGGACACCTCTATCAGTGCCTCAGCATCTCCTTTTGCCAACGACTGGTTCTGTGTAGCCCCTCTGTCCTCTCAGGGTTGCAAGGGTCTGCTGAGGACAACTCTCACCTGGAAGGGAAGAGGGAAACCTTCTTTACTCTTCTTCCCCTGTGGTCGGAGTGTGGAAGTCTGAGATGTGGCTGAATCAAGAGACAGCTAAAGTCCTAGTGCTGGGGAATGAGATCCCCTGGACTGCTCCTGGGTGTGTGTGTGTGTGTGTGTGTGTGTGTGTGTGTGTGTGTGTCTGCTGGCCCTGGGAGCTGGGCCAGAGCTGCGACTGAAGTGTGAACCAGTGTGGTAATCTAGCCAGAGGTGTGCATGCGCTCCTCGGCTAACAAGGGAGCGTTTCTTAGTTTTGTAAATTTTGTACAGTCTGATGGATGACCGCTTGCTCGGGGCTTCTTGTTACTATACGTTTGTGCTTGTGAATCTGTGAGAGATGGGGCCGAGAGGCAGCCCATGGTAGAATTATCTGGGCACAGACCTCTCCTCCTAGGCTACTTCTCAGAATTAGTGTTCAGTAGAACACTCTCTGGGGGAGTTTTCAAATCTAACTGCCCTCAGCAAACAGCAGGACCGGACAGCGAAGGTGATCTGCTCAAATTCACAGAACATGGCAGGTTCTAAACCAAAGAAGGTCTGTCTTCATGGATTCTCTTTGGAGAGACTGCCTCAACCTTTCCTTTCCCATGAAAGTCTTCTTTAGAAGAGATTTGTCTATTGACTAACCCGGGGGCGGGGAGGGGGGATGTGTAACTGACACTATCCTGAAGGCTTGAAGAGAGATAAAGATAACAGAATAAAATTCTTACATCCTAAAATAATTCACAGCATAGCATCTTTCCATTGTCCTAACACACACACACACACACACACACACACACACACACTCGCACACTTGCACACCCTCACCCCCCTCCCCATAAAGAGAGCCACAGTTAATTAGGCACAAATTTTAATTGCCTGTAAGTGGAATAGTGCCTCTGGAGACGACCCAGCTTCTCAGAGTGTCCCGGCACCAGGGTTGGAGGCTCTGCCCTGGAGTTGTTGTTTTTCACGGATCCGGATCCCAGAGGCACCAAAGGGGGCCGTTAACACACCAGAGGCTAGGCTGTCCAGTTTGCCCTTCAGGCCTCCAGTTTCTTGTTGCCTGTCGGGAGCAGACCAGCAGTGGCTGTGCAGGGAACAGTGGCTTCATCACTGCTGTGGCTTCATCACTGCTCCGGCTCCACTCCCGAGTCCCAGAGCTCTAGTTTCAGGGCACTTAGGTCCTGGGGGAGGGAGGGATAGTGAAAGGGATAGCAAGGGATGGCAGACAGCCTCAAGCCTTTCCTCTCTCCTGCAGGAGCACCTCTCTCAGCTCAGTCCCAGAATGGCGCTTCCCCCAAGTCCCTTGGCTATGGAATATGTTAATGACTTTGACTTGATGAAGTTTGAAATAAAGAGGGAGCCCTCAGAGGGCCGATCGGGGCTCCCCACAGCCTCACTGGGCTCAACACCTTACAGCTCAGAGCCTCCTTCACCCACCTTCAGCGAGCCCGGCATGGTGGGCAGCGAGGGCCCCAGGCCAGGCCTGGAGGAGCTGTACTGGTTGGCCACCCTGCAGCAGCAGCTGGGGGCTGAGGAGGTGCTGGGGCTGAGCCCCGACGAAGCTGTGGAGCTGCTGCAGAACCAGGGCCCGGTCCCTGTAGAAGGTTACTATTCAGCGAGCCCAGGAGAGACAGGAGCCCAGCATGCCCAGGTGAGCGATCAACAGGTTTGTCTGAGGGTTGGAACACCTAAGGAAGGAGACCCGTCAAAGCAGGGAGGACGGCTCCTGGAGAGAATTAGTGACTGGAAAGAGACAGAGCAAGGTCCTTGACACAATCAGATAGAGAAACTGAGTTGTTTTTTTCCGAAACGGTAGAAATGGTTGAGTCCTGGAGAACAGGGATGATAAGATTAGGAGGAGGCCCAGAGATGTGGTTCAGGCCTTTAATCCCAGCTCTTGGGAGGCAGACGCAGGAAGGTTTCTGTAGAGTTCTAAGCCAGCCTGGTCCAAATGGTGTCCCTGGCCAGTCACGACTACATACTGGTACCGGTCAAAAGACAAAACAACAGAACAAGACAAGATTCCAAGGGGTCTCGAAGGGAAAAGAGCTTAGCATTTAAGAGCGTTGGGGGCGGCGGGATGAGCGATTGTGTGGAAACAAATGGATCGAGTGGGCAACGGCTGTGGCTGAGGTTGGCTTTTTCAAGGTTCCGTGTTTTCCCCAGCACCTAACCTTCTCAGAAAGGATTGGGACTCATCCTATTAATTATAGACACAGATGGGGGTGTTGAGGGCATTAGGATGTAATCCAAATCCTCGAGGGTCACCGGGTTGTGGCGTTCAGGACAGGGAAACGTGTAGTGTGTGGCGAGGGCGGGACCTGTCTGGGCGCGGGTCCCTGGGACACTGCGGACGGCTGAAGGGTACGCAGCGCTGGAGGCGCGACTGGTTGGTTGGCCAGAGCTCGGGGGCGGAGCCCACACTGCGACACTCGCGGAAGGGCCGGCAGGCACGCCACGGGGGGTGGGGTAGGGGTGGGGGTGGGATGGGGCGGGGGGGGGGCGAGGGTGGGGCGGCGTAGCTCCGGGGGGGGGGGGGGGGGGGGGACCTGGGGTGGGGTCTGTGGGAAGGGCGAGCACGCAGCAGGAGAAGGTTGGCAGCCCGGCGGGCTGGCTTTCCCAAGGGCTTCCCTGGCCGGCCCGGGGGACCCGAGTGTCCACGCGGGCGGGAGCCGCCCCGACCCCGGTCCCTGCGCTCTTTCTCCGCAGCTGCCCGAGAGGTTTTCGGACGCGGCGCTGGTCTCGATGTCCGTGCGCGAGCTGAACCGGCAGCTGCGGGGCTGCGGGCGAGACGAGGCCCTGCGGCTGAAGCAGAGGCGCCGCACGCTCAAGAACCGCGGCTACGCGCAGGCCTGCCGCTCCAAGCGGCTGCAGCAGCGGCGCGGGCTGGAGGCCGAGCGCGCCCGCCTGGCGGCCCAGCTGGACGCCCTGCGGGCCGAGGTGGCCCGCCTGGCTCGCGAGCGCGACCTCTACAAGGCCCGCTGTGACCGGCTGACCTCCAGCGGCCCCGGGGCCGACGACCACACGCACCTCTTCCTCTGAGCCTCTCAGGGCAGGGGAGTGTGGCTGGGTGGATGGCGCTAGAGGGTATCTATCACTCACCAAATCGCCACCCTGGATGGTCCGCACAAATATCCCCAAACTCCTGACCCTCGTGGCAAGCCTGAGGTTAGATGCCGGCCCTTTGCTGGAGATGAGTCCCCTCCCTTTGCAGGCCATGACTCTTCAGGATTAGGGCACTGAATTCTGTAGGGGCTAGTGCCTGTGCCGAGGGTGAAGGTGTGGGGGATGAGCGGGCGGCATGATGACCGGGACGGGGCGGGGATGCAGTTCCCCTCGCAGTAGTTCTTAATTCCAGGTTTTCAACCTGTAGCGTATTGATGCTGTGACGAACAACGAAGCTGCGTTTTCACTGAATCTTCGGATCCCTCATTTTAGGACTACTGAACTGTCAAGATTTCAGTGCCCTCAGACAAGACAGAGTAGTAGGTCAACTCAAGAGGCTTTGCTCTGCTCAACCCAGTGGCCTTGAGAGTCCTTGCGGCAGAGGCAGAACAAGCACCCTGATGCGAGCCTGGCAAAGGCTCAGCGGTGTCCCTGGCCATATGTCTGTCACCTTAAGCAAAACAATTGCTGTCAGACTCCAATTACTTAACTGGATGACTTCTGACACCGTTTTAGTTTTGGCCTCTTCCGCAGTGAGCAAATCTGAATGATGTCCCCGGAAGGCCCCAAGATGACGGCACTAAAGGGACACCCTGTTCTGCCTCAGCTTCCAGGCTGTGGCTTAGGCAGTGGACATGCGGCATGGTTCCTCTGGGTTCTCACTGGCCCTCTGTGGCTCGCTCCTGGCCGCCTAGGGTGTCCCTGCTGCCTCTTGCCTCTCAGAGCAGTAGACCTCACAGGATAACCGGGAGCTGAGAGAGCGTGGCTTTGGTGAATTAAATCTGACGTCCAGGAAAAACTAATGTTGTTGACTAAATGTTCTTGCAGTTTGAAACAAGTTAACCCTGTGTCACCGCTTTGGGTTAGTTAATGTTTTGTGCATTTACTGTGAGAGGGCGATGGGAAGGAGAGAGGTGGAGGGAGGGGGAGAGACCTTTTTTTGGGGGGGGGGGCCCGGCGGTTGTAGCCCAGGGGAAGATTGCTTGCCTATTTTGGGGGGAGGGGGCCTTTTTCGGGCCAGCGCGGGTACCTTCCGTTTCTAGAGGGCCGAGGAAAGAGGATGGGAGAGGGTGGGCGGGGAAGGGTGCAGATGGAGCCTCACCCACCTACCATCACCACTGCCACAACCAAAACCCAGGAGCCGCACTGGCCCTCGCTAGGCCTGTCTGTGGCTGTCCTCCAGGTCTCCTCACAGTTGCCATGGTAACCCAGCCCTCCAGTTCGGCAACATATGGGGAGGGCCTTTGGGCAGAGCAGAAGCTTTGAGCTGGGAGTGTCCACCTCATCAGCCGCTGTCATCTGTCCTCCGAGGGCATAATAAACAGGAGAAGCAGTCCTGCGTGGGGGAAGAGGCTCCCATATGTCCTTCTTCCTTCCTGCCCCCACTCCCCACCCCCTGACCAGCTGTCTCTCCTTTCCCCATTACACTTCTGCTCCCTCCAGCCCAGCTCCTCCTTCTACACAGGAGACTGACAATGGACCTTCCTCTCCTCCTCCCTGCACTTTTCTTTTCCTCCACGACCTTTGACCTTTCTCTCTGGCTGGGGCTCCTGTGAGGACCCCACAGCACCTTCCTCTGTGCATTCATTGTTGAAGGGAGAGTCTGGGGTAGAGGGAGTCCACCTAGGGTCTCAGCTCCTCTTCCTTTACTCTGTGTCCTTTCTTCTTTTCTACTAGGTAGCCCAGGCTGGCCTCAGATCTTCCTGACTTTACTTATTTATTTATTTTTTTTGAGACTGGGTCCCACTGTGAAACCCTAGCTGGCCTGGAATTCACTTTGTAGACCAGGCTGGCCTTGAACTCATAGAGATCCACCGGCCTCTGCCTTGTGTGTGGGGACTAAAGCTACGTGCCACCGCTGCTGGCCCAGCTTCCATTCTCTGAGTGCAGGCGTTACTTACGGGCATGGGACACAACACTCACCTTTCCCTTACTGCGAATCTCACTCCTGTTCCCTTCTGTCCTTTGGAGCTCCAATCCAGACCCATTGCTTCTCTTGCACCCCTTTCTTATTTACACACCTTGTACGCTTATGCCCACACACCAGGCCGCAGTACACATATGCTAGGTCTCCTCTGGACCCTGTGGGTAGCCCTCAAGCGAAGGTTTTGTGCTGCAGTGATGAAGAGCGGGGGTACTGTTCCAGCTCTGGCTGCATTCTGACTCTGGAGAGTTAAAATCAAGCCTCACTGGCTTTGCCAGAGAAATGGAGAAATGGTTCTATGACTTGCTGTCACAGTACACGCATTTAGAGAGGCCACGTGTGGCGGGTGCTAAGGAACAGTGCTCACGGCTGGTGCTCTAGTGCTGATGTTATCAGGAAGAATATCCAGCTGGACTTCCCGAAACTTCAGACTGCACTCCTGGAAAAATCAGGCCTTCCAGACCTCAGCTGCCCTCTCCGTGTTCCTAATTCATTAGCAGACCTGCGGGGCGGCACCCCTTCACTTTTTCCCACAATCCCTTCTTGGCCTGCCCCACAGCTGTGTGGGGGCTGGGGCTCAGCCCCTGGGACACTCAGCAGGGCTCTGGAGACAGCTCTAAGAAAGCATCAGCCCACTCTTTCCACAGCCCCTCATTACCTTCCCCCATCTCCTGCAATTAACAGCTGTGGTATTCAGACCCCCTGGGCTTGGGAGGTGAGGGTAGGGGCCCCTCAGATCCTGCCAGCACACAGTTGGGTTAAGGCTGCCAAGACAAGAGCCTGCTATGGGAGGCCTGGCTCTGATCTGAGGTCGGCCCCCATTTTCTATGGCGTATGTGTGTGTGGACATGACTGTTCCAATGGGCCCCTGAGGCAGGAGGGGTGAAGGCCGGAGCGCTGGGGCACTAGTTCCCTTTATTAACATCCATAAAGTCACAATCACTGAAGAAAGTTACTGAGGGTCCACAGAGTTGAGGGGGATGAGGCTTGGAGACATGGGAACAGGGCCCAACACTCACTTCCAGGACCCAAAGGGCATTGCTGGTCCAAGAGGCAGAGACACTGGTCACTGGAGTCACAAGGGTCAGCACAGGCACCTGAGAGGGGAAGGATAGCAAGAACAAAAACCAACAAAACCCACTCCATCAGTCAAGACAGGCTGTTTGGAAGCGCCACTCTGAACCCCTTTGGTATCTACCCCTTTGGACCCCCAGAACTCACTGAGAGACTGAGGGGGTGTTGCTTGTGTCGAGAGGCATCACGGGCTGGGGCTGGGGGTCACAGCTGGTGTGGAAGGTCTGGGAGCTCCCGGACTGATACCTTGGCTGGCATAGTACTCTACCACCTGCCGGGGAACCTCTGCCAGGACGCACTTAGCTAGTGCAGAGGGCGCGGCCTGGGGAGGGAAGGAGATGGGTGAGAAGCCCGGGAGTGGGGCCAGCTGGGGCAAGCGAACAAGCGAACAAGCGGTGGGGCTTCAGAGTCACATGCTGGATTCTGGCGACCTTCGAAGGGCGCGGAGAGGGTGAGAAAGACAGCTTCGGAGGCAGGGCACACACTGCTGGGAAGCCCTTCTGCCGGGACAGAGTAGCGAATACTCACGTCCTTGAAGTCCCTGAAGGGCACAAACTGGACAATGTCACGGGCCGCAGGTACCCCTTTTGGGCAACGCAGGGTTCCGTCGTCCCCGTCCAGCAGCCGCATGTCGGAGAAGTCAGCGTTGCCCACGCCCACGATAATGATGGACATGGGTAGGCGGGAGGCTCGCACGATGGCTGCCCGGGTCTCAGCCATGTCGCTCACCACGCCGTCAGTGAGCACCAGCAGCACTGAGTACTTCTGAGGGCAAGCAGAGGGGGGACGTGAGTTGCGTCTGGGTGGAAGGGCGCCGGCGCCATCCGAGGACACACAGGGCAGCCCTCCTCACCGTGGCTTGGCCAGTGCTCTGCTCACGCTGCGCTGGCTCGGCCACGCGGTTGATGATGGGGGCCACGTTAGTAGGGCCATAGAGCTGGATCTGAGGCAAGCAGCGGCGGTAGGAGGCGATGACCCCTGAGATCTCTGTGGCCAAAGAGAAGAGGTGAGGCTGGCAGGAGCCGGCCGAGAGCACTCCAGACACAGCTGGACGGTCATTTCTGTTCTAGACCTGATGGCTCCCAGCCTCTCGCTAAGCAGAGAGTCAGATGGTCCCTGGGGCTGGGGGGAGTAAATGGGCAGGTACTAGGGGTCACAGGGCTCGAACTCTTCCCGAAAGAAGACAGGCCTTGGGTGGGAGGAAGGGACAGCACAGGAGGCCGAGGACATGGGAGTGGACATCCCACTGAGGCGGTGCAAGCTTGTGTGGTAGTGAGGGTCGGTGGGACCCTCCCAGCTTACCTTCACACTCAGGGTTTTCTGGGTCAAAGTTGATGGCGAAGTCATGGGACACCTGTGAGGGGTAAGGACGGAGCGGTGAATGGAGGGTATCCCCTCCATGGCTCCCTCGCCGGCTTCCTGACTCTCTCACCCAGCCTACCTCAAAGTTTGGCGGGATTCGAGCTCCGAAGCCAAAAGCCGGGAACCGCTTATCACTGCAGAGAAGAAAAGGCTGTGGAGCTCCTGGGCGAGAACTGCGCCCCCTGACCTCCGCCCTGCCCCTACCTGTCATAGTCCTGGCAGATGCCTCCCACCGCGCGGAGGGCCTGCAGGTAGTGGTTGGGCTGCCGGGGACTGAGGCAGTGCAGGGACTGGCTGCTCCTCGGGTCCCCATTGGAGGCTGTGAAGTCGATGGCCACCTGGGTGAAGGCGGGGAAGCCAAAGGCGGCAGCCGTGAGCATCAGCAACAGGCCAGGCTGGAGTGCCAGGGTTAGAGTATGTTGAAAGGACCGAGACGGGTCTAGGGGAGCCCATAGCCAGCCTGATGGTTGATGCAGGGTACATGGGGTGCCCAGTTAAGGGGAGCGAGACTCTGGCTTCCTTCAGTTTGCATGGACTTAGCCGCTCCCTCTTTCTTGTCCGCCCCGCAGCACCCCAACCTTTTCCCCCCACGGTCTTTACCGTGAAGCTGATCTGGCAGCCACCCATGATGTAATCCAGGAAGGTGTGTACCTTTTCCACCTGGCGGGGGGGGGGGGGGGGGGGGGGGGGGGGGTGGGCCCCTTCGGAGGGAAGCCGGGGGAGGGCTGGAGGGGGGGGGGGGTGGGTGGGGGTGGGGGGGGAGGGACTGGAGCTTTAAAGGTTGCAGCCAAGGAAGGTGTGGAACAAGGGTTCACAGTTCCCAGAGCAGGTCTTTAAATAAGTGTAAGAAATAAATGGCTGGAGTGATGGCTCAGTAGATAAAGGTACTTGTGTTGCCCAGCCTGAAGACCTGGGTTTGGTCTCTGGGACCAACAGAGCGGAAGGAGAGGATTGGCTCCCGAGAGTTGTTCTCTGACCTGCACACGTGCTCTGTGGCACTAACGTGTCCTCACAAGTACACCCCCAGCAAATAGATGTAAAGATTTAAAAGCTAAAAGGCGAGGAAGGGCATGGCTCTGAGGTTGCGGTAGGGCAGGGCAGAGGACGCCTGAGTTGTGAACTGTCACCTACTGTGCACTGGGCCAGCACCACTGTCCCTGAGCTCTTGTAGTTCTTCTTCTTGTCCCGGTACTTGGGGTTGATACAGTCCCACTGCATCTAGACCCACGCCCCAACACAGAGTCAGAGCGCATCCAACAGGCCTTCTCGCCCCTTCCTGCCCTGCCGCCGCTCCCAGGACAAGACCTGACCCTTGTCATGACCCCGTCCCTCCTGCCGAGCCTGGGCATTTCCCACCCGCTTCTGTCTCCAGTCACCCAGATGATGTGTTCGGCACCCCACCCCCCAGGATTTCTCCCAGGGTCCTGGGGTTGGGATGGGGTCTCTGGCACCTCCTGCCCAGGGTTTGCTGTCCCTTCCTGCATTTCCTGGAATGTGCTGGTGAACTCGCCAATGAAGTCATGCTTCCCGCTGGAGTCATAGTCATACACCAGGAACTGAAGGGAGTGGGAAGAGGCCGGATCAGGGCTAGGGACCTTCTCCATGTAGTGGCTCCAAAGGTGCCATAGGGATCTCACAGTGTCTTGGTCCTTAACCTACCCGGAAGCCACCTGCTAAACTTCACTCTTTAGCTCACTCTGGCAGGGAGCTGGCCTCAGATAAAGGGACCTCTGTGGTAAGCTTAACACTGAGCTGTGAGCTGTTATTTATCCCACAGAGACTAGCACTTATCACATGAGGGGGGGGGGGCTTGCTGTACCCTGGGGAAGGTAGACAGCAGAGTTGATGATCCAAGGGGCTTTACCTTGAGAGGCCGGTGGGCGTCACAGCTGCACAGAGAGTGTAAGGACAGGCGGAACGGCTCCCAGCTGGGGTTCAGGTTGTTTTTCACCACCTTGGGGAGGCACGGGGACCTTGTTATCGCCTGTCTAGGTTTCTTTACTATAATCTGCCCACCTTCATCCCATAGCCCTGTGCACCAACCTCAGTCCTCCAGACCAGCTGCTCACTCTGGTCTCCATTGGTCTTGTAGATCTCCATGAAAGGGTCAGACTTGCTGAAGAGATCCTGGAGATGCAAGGAAACAGGCTCGTGGGTCTGGGAGATCTTCGAGGAGGGGTGGGGAGGGAGTAACACTGAGAAGACAGACTGGGGTCTGACTCTAGTGGGAAGCCTATGGTTCTCTAATGGGGTGTGGACGCTTGGACTCTGGGCTTCCAACCTTGTTGTCCAGCTTGTGGGCTCTGAAGGTAAGTTTCACATAGTCATTGGTGCCTGATACCTCCTCAGCCACGATCTGTAAAAGGGACACAGAGTTAGGGATTCTCTCCCCACTGGAAGGGCTACCGTATACGCTTCCCACAAATGAAGGTGGCCGTAAGCACAGTATCATGATGGATGTCCACACGGGGACACTGAAGCTTGGCCCCACAGGGAGCAGAGTTCCTCTCCCTACCGTGATAGTAGACTTGCCCGCAGTCTTCCCATTCTTCAGCAGTAATGGTTTAGTGACCTTGGTTTGTGACACAATCTAGAGAGAGAGGTAGAGGGGAGTCTGGCTGTAATGCATGCACCTGCCCTGGCCAAGGTATGAGGGTAAAAAAGCAAATGCCCACAGGGCGTCTGTAGGTCAGCTTTGCGATTGGGCTAGAGTGGATTCCATTTCTACAGCAGCCTGAAGAGAGAGGTGCTGAGGAGGGGAGCGTGGTTCAGTGGTAGAGAGCAGCTTAGCCATGGGTTCAATCCCCAGCACCAAACACAACAGTAATAAAAACCAAAGAAGCACCAACAAGTACGCCTGCTGAACCCCCCCCAATCCCGTTCAGACGGGTAAAGCGGGCTAAGCATCTTGTCCAAGGTGCACCTCCCATGGATGGAAGGGAGGGCTCCAGCCAGAGCCAGCTTCGGAGCTGACAGAGCTGACAGGGAGGCAGAGAATGCAGGGACTGGGCTGCCATGCGGACCTGGCCCAAGGTGCACTCTGTGGAGCCAAGGAAGGTGTCACTGCTGGGGCTGGTGGCTCCATCCTCGGCGTCGAACACGTGGAATTGCAGTGGCTGCTTTTCTTCAAAAAAGTATTCGACTGCCAGCACCCGGGAGAAGACGGGGCTGGAACAGGAGCGCAGCACCTCCGTGCGCTCCACCTGCAGCGGGAGGGAGAAGGACCCTCTGGGACCCTCTGGCTACGTGTCTGTGTCCTTTAACTCCCTGCCCACAGGGGCTCCCCCCCGGCAGTTAGTGCCTTTCTTTCTTAGCGGACTTCGGATTTTGGGGTACTGCTTGACCGCTACACCTCTGTGAACGCTTGACTAAGACCGTTTGGCCTTCTAAGGATGGCACGCTCAGGTTCAAGGTTACCCACGTGGCTAGAGAAGGTCCTTTGAGAGCCTCACACTCCCCCATGAGGTTTGCGTCCCCCCCCCCCCGCTCACCCTCCCTCCTTCCTGGGGTTAACAAAGGTTAGTCAAGGGAAACCTCACCAAGCTGCCCTCACCTCCACCCACTGGTCATCGGAGTAGAGCTTGAGCAGCACGCAGGGATGCGGCTTTGTGAGTGTGTCTCGGTCCAGGAGGCCGTGGCAGGACACCCGCAGCTCAACTCGAGAGGCTCCCAGGGTCATGGCGGGGGGCTCGGGCACCCATTCCATCTCAGGGTCCGACATGGCACTGTGGGGACAGAACAGAGGGTCTGGACAAAAAGAGGAGGAGCTTGCCTCTTGGAGGTCCTGGATCCCCCCATTGCTCTTCTTGTGGAGGCTCTGGGGGTCCTGCGGGCAGCCCACCTCCCTTGCCCTCTGTTTGACTTCCCTGGAGCTCTGAGCAGCAAAGAACAGGAGTCCAGAGCTCCCGTGCTTCTGTCACTGTGCCAGTCTAGGTGTCATGGATGGGGCTGGAAAAGACTGGAGGGTTGGGATGGAAGTGGGTTCCTGGCAGTCTCGGCTCCTAGGCCATCGATTGATTTGTGCTTACTGCTGTCTCAGCACCTTCTGCTATTTCCCGACTGGTATATGAGCCAGAGCTGCACTCAGTCTTGGCACTAGGGAACCGAACTGGGGCAAAGGGGTGGGCAGGAGAGTGGAGAGGCCCCTGGAGGTCTGACGAGGATGGGCCTCAGGGAAAGAGTCTACAGTAGACAGAAGGAGACAGCTTGGCAGTGGAAGGTGCCATGCCAAACTGTCCCCGTCATCTTAGTGTCCCCCACTCACTGGTTGGGTGAGGGGAAATGAGAGGTGGTGGGCTTGGGGAGTGAGAGCTGGGACTAGGGCTCTGTTGTGAGCTCTTCAGAGGATTGACAAGCCCGCAGCCCTCCCCACCTCTCCTGTTCCCACACTTCTTGGCAACCACAGGCACTGTCTCTTAGCGACAGGGTTTTGGGGGAGCCACGGCCCCCACCATGCTGCCAGTGGGATGCATGCGCACCGCCGCCCCCCAGAAGAGTCGCCAAGCCTCAGGCAGCGGCTGACAGGGGGATGCCGGCCCGAGTTCATGGCCGGTCAGCCCATCTATCTGTGCCTGCCCAGATCTCAGGCTGAAGCTGTCTGATCCATGCCATGCTTCCTGAGTGAGTGCCCACTGGTGTGCCTGAGTGCCCCACCCTCTGTCTGTCCCCCTCTGTCCTGTGTCCATCTCCACGAGGGCGTGACAGTCCCGTGTCTCCGTCAGACCTGGGACGGTTCCCTGGCTGGATACCAGCCTCCCGATGAGATATCTTCATGGTTGTGTGAGGGAGGGTCCGGGCTGGGCTCTCTCTGCCTATCAGCCACAAGTCAGTTACTGTGGAGTGAGGCAGGCAGCGGCATGTGGTGGAGAGGGGATCAGGTAGGGTCTGGCTGGCGACTTCTCTGGGAGCCAGAGGAGATGTTATGGAGACTGGGCCAGGGGAGGCAGGACTCAGACTGGATGAGGGAGGGAGGGTGGGCTCACCTGGGCTCTTAGTGGGGGTCTCCTCTCTCCAGCTTTCCGGGCCCTGCCCCTGACTTCCTTGCTGCTCCAGCCGCTGGCGCTGGCTCCAGCTCCGGCTCTGCTGCTATTTATGGGGCCAGGATGGGGAGGAGGGGGGCCACAGCACCAGCTCCCCCCCCCTCTGCACAGACTGGTTGGGAGGGAGAGGAGGGGAGGGGCAGGGACACTGCCTGGGAGGGAGCCACAGAACCAGGGAGGAGGGCGGGCTGTGGGGAGGTCCAAGGCGGGACCCCCACAGACACAGTGACACACATCTCCTTCACATCACGCCCACAGCCAGCACCACAGAGACACACACATCGCAGCGGTACACGCACACACACGTCCACACGGAGGGAGGATGGCGACCCACGCACCCACGACTCACAGGCTCACACATATCTTGACACGCGCAGGCGCCAGTACACAAACTCACAGTGACACCATGACAGTTATAGCCCCACCGATGCGCAGTGGGAAACACACTCTCACAGCACTTTCAAGAGTATCACACTGGCTAAGGATATTCGTAGCTACATATAAAAGAACACTAGGCTGTATTGTGACATACACACAGACAACAACTCTCACTAACCTGCCACACAACAGAATGTTGATATCCGCACTCTCCTTAAAAGCCATCACGCGCCACACTGAGCCTCATGGGAATGACGTCCAGTTCCCGAGTTACCCTTCTGTGGGGAAGTGTGGAGCGTGAGCACTCCACAGGCTCTCATTCTAGTCATACAGCGCTGGAGGGAAGGCTTGTACACTTAGCCCATCTGCTGGAAGACTGATTCCCATGAACTGACCGTATGCCACCACAATGGATGGACCTGGTGTTCCACCCCTTCACCCCCCCCCCCCCAGATCCAACCCTTATGGTCACAAACTCATGAGAGGGGCTGGGCCTGGCACAAAGCTTAAGGAAACAGGAGTTACACATTCTCAGTGAGATCAGAGGAAGCGAGAAGCTTCTGGACGGCTACAAGCCACGTGGGGAGACATTTGGGAGTGGTGGTCTGGGGAGTACTGGAGCTTAGTCACAGCAATGCCTTCGACCCCCACCCCGGAAGCTGCTTATTTATTAAGGCAGAAGCAATTTTTTAACTACCTCCTGAGTGCCAGAGATTGGGCCAGGCGCTGGGGCTGGTCAGGAGACTGAGACACAGCTCCTGTTCCTGAGGAGGCAGATGGAGACCCACACAGACACGCTCAGATAGTATGAAGTGCAGTTAAGTCTGACATAACGAATTATGCGCAGGGCAAAATGGAGGCTTGATCTGGATGAGAGGCGAGAGCCTCAAGAAGGATGTTAGAGAGAGGGGCCTGGGGGAGTTCCTGACTTAAGATCATATTTGTTAGGACATACCAGAAATGGTTAGCATAAGCACTGTGTTTTTTTTCATGTTGTAGAGACCTGTTAACTATGAGCTACTCTATGTTGAGATTTTTTGATTATTAAGGGTTTTCACGGGTGGGGCTGGAGAGGTAGATCAGCAGTTAAGGGCACTGCTTGCTCTTCCCAAGGACCTGGGTTCCATTCCCAGCACCCATATGGCGGCTCACAACCACTTGTAACTCCAGTTCTAGGGAATCTAATGCCCTCTTTTTGCCTCCATGGGCACTGCATGCATGTGGCTCACAGACATACAAACAAGCACAAAGCCCATACACATAAAATAAAGATAGAGGCTTTGAAAAAGTAACGTCCACAGGAGGCTGGAGAAGGCTCAGTGCTTTAGAGCCCTTGTTGCTTTCAGGGAACCTGGATATCCAGCACCGACAGGGTGGCTCACAGCCATCTGTAACCCCAGTTCCAGGAGGTCTGATGCCCCCATTTAGCCTCCACAGCTAACAGGCATGGTACATACATGTAGGGAAAACATTCATACATGTGAATAAAAAAACGAGTATCTAAAGGAAGGCTGTGGAGATGGCTCAGCAGGAAAGGGCTGCTGCCACTAAACTTGGGGACATGAGTCTGATCCTGGGACCCACATGGTAGGGGAGGCCTGACTCCCCCAAGTATGTTCTGACTGCCACCTGCATGCTGCGACACGTCTGCTCATATGCAGGTACACAGAATAAAATGTTAAAAGGGCACCCATCGGCTAGCACAGCGTTCAGTATGTTGGTGAGCGAATGTGTGAGCACAGGCACACACATGCACACAAGCTTCCCTGCTACACTGACTAGGGTCTTTTGATCCTAACACGATCCCTAGAGCTAGAAAACCGCTGTGTTTTCCCTGCCGCGTTAGTCTCTTTCACAGCCCGGATCCTGCACAGAACCCACCACTTGCCATTCTTTGTCAGCACTTCTGTCATTCCAGCATCTCCTCCTGGAGCCCCAGACTCGTACCTGTGAGCTGTTCTTTACTTTCTCCGACCGTGGCCCAACCCTGGGGGCTCACGAGAAGAGGGTGAGGTGGGCGCGATGTATAGGGTGGAGGTATAGGAGACTAGAGGCAGACAGTGATTTTGTTTTTGTTTTATTATTCTATACAAGTGGGGAGAGAGCCCCTGGCCATAGAGAGGCAGAGATCTACCCTCCCTCCAGGGGAAGAGACAGCTTCTGCCCAAAGCTCTCTGTAGAGGCAGCTCGAGGCAGGTGTGAGGCCTCCATGCCTCAGGCCGCTCCCTCCCTCCCAGTCCCCACTCCTGCTCCCCTATGCCTACTTAGTGGTGCTGCCCTGGAGGACAAGGGCTGGCAGGGATGGGAGAGCAGGGGTGGGTGGGGCCTGAGTCCTTATGAGGCACGCGTCGAGGAAGGCTGGGGAGGGTGTTCAGTAGCCATCAGTCTGTTCCTGGTTCACTGGTTCCTGCTGGGGACAAATCCAGGGAACCCTGTTTCCTGGGCAAAGAGAGCCAGCCACACCCAGTGTCGGTCCTTGAAGGGATGCCATGTTTGACAGCGCAGTGGGAAGGGGACCTGTTGTCTCACCACAGGCCCCTGTAGGGTCAGGCGGTCGTCTTCTATCCGGTTCCAGTTTGTCACAGGACTGTGCTCGCCTCGTTCTCTTGGGTTTCAGGGGGGCTGTTCGGCGGCCCAGATCAGAGGGTCCTGAAACGAGGCATGGCAAGCTTGGCACACAAGGGGTCTTACAAGCTGGGTGTTCCCCCAGGCTTGTTGCTTATCCCCGTTCTGAGGCCTGGAAGGGGTTCTGTTGTGGGGACCAAAGCCCCAGGGTCCTCCCACGTCCCGGCTCAGGGTAGACCTTGTACTTCCGGCTCCTCTTGGTCTTGCTGGGAGCCCAGTCTCAGCCTCGGTTTGTTGATGGCTGGGGCAGCGCCGCTGCCACTCTCAGCCTCTTCCCTGCCTCCCGGCACCTGGGGGGCCCTGCGGCCCCTGGGCACAGCCACTGGCTTAGGGGGGCGTGGACCCACAGGGGGGTCCTGTAGCTGGCAGAGTGAGGAAGATATTGGGTCAGTTAGTCTGTGACTCCTCCAAAGGATCCTCTCCGTCCACCATTGACCTTCACCCGGCATTCCTAGTTCTTTTAGTATCTTTACCCCTTCAAAACACCCTCCCCATCCATCTTCTGGCCTTCACCTTGGCATTCCTAGGCGGGACCGTCCTCTCTGGGAATAAGGTTCCCTCCTTTTCCTCTTCTCCATCCTGGGAAGCTGGGCTAGGGCTTTGGCAGCTGTGGTTGGGGGCACTCTCCTCAGCTGGGAGATAGCAGACAGGAGAAGCTACAGAAATGGCATTTGTTCAGAGCCCTCCTGTTACTTTTCCTATGATGCCCAGCAAGGCTAGGACTTTGCCCCCATCAGAACTCATTTGCTCCGGCATTTCTGCTTTCCACATCTTCTTCCATTCTGACATGTCCTAGCCACTGGTTCCCAGGCTTGCCCTGAGGCCATCATCTGGGGCTGGCAGGGCTCAGTCCTTTTCCTTCTGAGAGTCAGGATAAAAGACCTCCTGGCTCCACAGGCACAGCTGTCTAGTCAGGACCGCAGTGCCCCAGGGCCCTGCCAAGGCTGCAGCCTGGAACTTTTCAGCACTGCCTACGAGTCTGATTTAGACAGTTGGGAGCCTTAAGGGGAGATGCCATAACGTGCTTGCCTGTGACTTTAAGCCACATGAGAACAAAGTGGAGTTCCTGTCAGCTGCTGTGTCTGTCTCTCAGTGCACTGCCTGGCTACCGTGGTTTACTAAAAGAAGGATGAAGACCTGTTTTGAGTGCTTCATCTGTTTTGTGCCAGGGACAGAAAATCAGTAAAGCTGCCCCCAACACTGGGCTGGCCTTAGAGGGCAGAGTAGAGTGCCCTCAATACTAGTGGCCTTGTGTGGGTATGCCAGACCTTACACTAGCACTACAGGAGATGTAGGGGAAAGGACAGAGAGGAACAGGATGGGACAATGGGGAGTAGGTACTGCCCAGACCAGACCTGCCAGCTCTCTCTTTCTTTCTCTCTCTCTCTCTCTGACAGGGTTCTTCTGTGTAGCCTTGGCTGTCCTGGACTTGATTTGTGGACTAGGCTGGCCTTGAACTCACAGAGCTCCACCTGCCTCTGCCTCCCTGAGTGCTGGGATCACAGGCTTACAGGAGTGAACCACCTCGTCCAGCTCACCTCCTCATCTCTTTTCTTCTTCTGGTCCTATGCCCTAGCCTAGGAATAGGAGTGGGGGAGGTTTCTGAGCCTCTGGGAAGATTTGGTCTGTGTTGATAGGGCCAGGAGCATATCCCAGGCCTTAGGGAACTTGAATTGACTCTGGGCTGTCTAGCTTTTCTTTAGTGGCTTAGGTTGGTGGTGCTCTGAACCCAGAAGGAGGGAAATGGGACACGTCAGGTAAGTCCCTCTCTCTTTCAAACCAATCATCAAGGTGGAAAGTAAGTGACCTGCTTGAGGTCACTGGTGGCTGAGTGGGACTAAGGCTCAAAACTCTGACCTCCAGGGCAGAGCCAATGCTGCTTCTTTGGGGGTGCTTCTCTGAGAGCTGTGAGGACAGGGTGATCCGCAGGGTGGCAGTGTTTGATGACGCAGCCCACACTTGCTGGCCGCTGGACACGCTCCCTTTCTCAGCTAAGGTATGGAATGGTGCCTCATTTATAGAGGGACCTCTGTAACAGCAGTGACCAGCGCATCACCTGTCTTAGAGAATTCTTCAGCACCGTCTGCGGAGCCTGGGTTTGGATCAGGCTGTCTGTCTGTTTTGGATGTATCTTTGCGGATGTCTCGAGACTTGTTCTCAGTGTTGATTTCTCACCACCTCTCCTTGGTTGAACATTCCCCATTGCAGGGAGTCATGGCTTTCATCTCTTTGAGCTTTACATTGCTTTTAGCCAAGAAAAGGGCTTTACATACCTATGTGCCATGTGGCCTCTGCTCGGCGCATGGCGCTGAAGGCTGGCTTGGAGCTTTGTGGGGGTGGGGGTGGCTTCCAGGCTCCAGGCCCTGGAGTTGGGGTGTGCAGGGGAGGAGATGGAAAGAAGGGGAAAGGTATGGGGGAATTAGGAGCTTTTTAGGAGACAGGGGCTGGAGGAGTGAGCGT